TTGTGCCATGTTCAACCAATAACTATTAAATCTGACTTGAACACAATAACAACAGAAACTTCCCAAATTACTGACTCAAAATGCAACATACCTTTAGAACTCAAAGAACGTTACAAACATAAATGGTACCAAAGATAGATAGATACTTTAATGATCCCCTGTAGGAGAGGTGTCCAGTAGCAGAAAAAAATCCATACAAACTAAACAGAGTGATCATTCTAAAAAGCTAACAATAGTAATAAGACTAGCTACAGCAGCAGAGGTGGAGCAGCCGCTGGGTGGAGCAAGACTAGCTACAGCAGCAGAGGAGACCATCCATGACCATAAATGGTTGCACCTAAGCACTATCCATGTGTGGAATTGTTCTCTCAAAGATAGCCAGGTGTGCTTTTGACACTTTTACATTGATCATATTTTGAATTTATAAAATATTGCAGGCAAACAAGTGGAAGATAAAAATATGTCCTCAAACTCTCTGGAGCTTTTGCCACTTCTGGTCGTGTGTAAGTAAGTAAGTAATCTTTATTTATATACCGCCTTTCACAGACCAGAGTCTCAAAGCGGTTTACAATTGTTATTATTTTTGGGCATTGGTCCACTCACTCCAGACAGAGATGGGAGCGGGGTCGCCAGTACAGGAGGCGCATGCCAGATCTATTGTGCATGTTTTTAGTGAATCAGAATCAGAATCAGAATCATTTTTATTGCCACGTAAGTAACAGGAGGTCACAGACTTGGAAATTGCTTTGGCTCAGTGCAACAGTCAAAAAGAGATAATAAAAATAAGAATAAAAAACACTTCTAAAGAATGAATTTAAATTTAAAATAGAGATACAGTTACTATTTACAATATACAAGTGCACATGGTGCACACAATGTAAGGTGAACAGCAGTACAGTGAAGTAAAGTGACGTATGATGGGCAGTAAAGTGACTTTATAAAGGGCGGGGGGACAGGTTAAGAAGTGTTCAAGAGTCCAACAGCAGAGGGGAAGAAACTGTTCTTGTGGCGGGAGGTTCTAGTCCTGATGGACCGCAGCCTCCTGCCTGAGGGGAGTGGTTGGAATAGTCCATGTGCAGGTGAGAGGGGTCGGCTGTGATACGACCAGCCCGGCCTCGAGCTCGGGCGACGTACAGGTCCTGCAGCGATGGAAGGCTGCGGCCGATCACTTCCTCTGCAGAGCGCACAATGCGCTGTAGTCTCTGTTTGTCCCTGACTGTGGCTCCAGCGAACCACACGGTGATGGAGGAGGTGAGGATGGACTCGATGATGGCCGTGTAGAACTGCACCAACATCTGTGCAGGCAGCTTGGCTTTCCTGAGCTGCCGCAGGAAGTACATCCTCTGCTGGGCCTTCTTGATGAGGGAGCTGATGGTCGGCTCCCACTTGAGGTCCTGGGTGATGGTGGTGCCCAGGAAACGGAAGGACTCCACAGAGGTGATGGGGGAGTCCATCACGGAGGGTGGGGGTGGGGGGACAGTGCTCTTCCTGAAGTCCACAATCATCTCCACTGTCTTCTGGGCGTTCAGCTCCAGGTTGTTACCACTGCACCAGGAGACCAGCCGGTCCACCTCCCTCCTGTAGGAGACACCAGGACACCAGCCGGACCACCTCCCTCCTGTAGGCGGACTCATCGTTGTTGGAGATGAGTCCAATGAGGGTGGTGTCGTCCGCGAACTTGATCAGCTTCACGGAGTCGTGGCTGGAGGTGCAGTGGTTGGTGTACAGGGAGAAGAGCAGGGGAGAAAGAACACAGCCCTGTGGGGCTCCTGTATTTATAATCCGAGAGTCCGAGACATTCTTCCCCAGACGCACTCGCTGCTTCCTGTCCGTCAGGAAGTCAGTGATCCACCTGCAGGTGGAATCGGGCACGTTGAGCTGGGAGAGCTTGTCCTGGAGCAGGGATGGCAGGATTGTGTTGAAGGCAGAGCTGAAGTCCACGAACAGGACCCTGGCGTAGGTCCCCGGGGAGTCCAGGTGCTGTAGGATGTGGTGGAGGGCCAGGTTAATGGCGTCGTCTACAGATCTGTTGGCTCTGTAGGTGAACTGCAGGGGGTCCAGGAGGGGGGAGGTGAGGGACTTGAGATGGGAGAGAACCAGGCGTTCAAATGACATCATGACGACAGACGTAAGTGCTACAGGTCTGTAGTCATTGAGTCCTGTGATCCTGGGCTTCTTCGGGACGGGGACAATGATGGAGGATTTGAAGCAGGCCGGGACATGGCAGGACTGCAGAGAGGTGTTGAAAATGTCAGTGAACACAGGAGTAAGCTCACTGGCGCAGTGTCTCAGAGTGGCCGGAGACATGTGGTCCGGGCCAGGAGCTTTGCGGGGGTGCAGCCTCAGGAAGAGTTGTTTAATCTCTTTAGCGGCTATTGTTAGGCTGGGGGCAGGGCTGATGGGTGGGTCATTAGAGTAGTGGGGGGTGGGGGAGGGAGAGGTGTCAGGGGCAGCATCAAAGCGACTGAAAAATAAGTTCAGATCGTCAGCTAGCTTGTGGTCGTCAGCACAGGGGGGGGCTTTGGGTTTGTCGTTGGTGATCTCCCGTAGGCCCCTCCAGACAGAAGCAGTATCGTTGTTACCAAACTGCTCCTGTAGTCGTTCTCTGTGCCGGGACTTGGCTGCTTTCAGTTCTCTCCTGAACTGATATTTAGCTGCTTTGTAGCCGCTGCGGTCCCCCTCCCTGAAAGCAGACTCCTTTGCTTTCCTGAGCTGCCAGAGTTTAGCAGTGAACCAGGGTTTGTCGTTGTTATAGATGACCCTGGTCCTTGTTGGAATGATGCTATCCTCACAGAAGTGAATGTATGACGTCACAGTGGTAGGGGAAACCGGAGTACCCGGAGGAAACCTACGCAGACACGGGGAGAACATGCAAACTCCACTCAGAAAGGCCCTGGTCCGGCCGGGATTCGAACCTTCTTGCTGAGAGGCGAGAGTGCTATCCACTCAGCCACCGTGCCGCCCGGTATGTATTAAAGCATTAGCCGTAGTCTGCAGGGTCCCCCGGAGAAGAAAGGATTATGAGGCCTGGAAATGAAGCCCGTGGAGCACCAGGTCTCCAGCCTCACAGCCTCTGTTTGTTCTCTTCAGAAATGGTCATGATGGGAAATGTGCCTTTGAAATAGGATTTTCACAATGGCATGAAAATAAATTATAATCGCGCATAGCCGACCTCCCACTTCGGTTAAAGTTTCTGGGTATTTTGCAATGGTTTTGAATGTCTTGCGTAAATGAAGACCTGGGCTATGTGTACAGACAAGTATACTGCAGAGCTGAAGAGAGCTGCAAACTTGAATATTGGTTACAGTGCTTGAAAACATATTCAAACAGCAAATTTGGTATTATTTTTGCTGAAAGAGACATGATCTATAGAAAGTGACGACAGATGGGTCAATATTCATTATTCTATCATGAATATTATGAATAGTTTTCTCCAACCTCACAACTGTCAGGTAGGAGAGAAAAAACACTGGTCTGATTTTTTTATTTTTTTATATATCGTATAATTCTTCTTCTTATTATTTTATTTTTACAGGGACAGTGTAGAATAAACATTAGCCAGAAGGAGAGATGCATTGTACCAGGTTTTAGCAGCAGTGCTAATTTACAGCTGTAGTCCCTGAGCAGGTTGTTGTAAAACAGTAAAATAAAGTAGATTGATACATTACCATACATTATCAGACATACATTACAATGTAATTCATCACAGATTAGATTATAAAATAAAATTGCTAGTTTAATAACAAAAGCTACAGCTATATCTTAATGCACCAACCTTTTTTTGTATCTAAAGAAAATGTATTCCTCCTCTTCTGTCAAATAGAAAGTCAAGAGCAAAGTTTTAAGTTGTTATTTTTGTTACAACCATTGAATACAACCAAAAGAATTACCATAAATTAATAGAAAATATCATTGCAAGCGTAAAACGGGGACATTTGAGGATCTTGATACACCACTTAAGATGCATTGTTATAAACTAAAAATAAAATCATTGAAATCTTAATTTATTTCTTCAATTAGACTTAAAATGTGAAACCAATCAATGATTTAGACTCATTATGTACAAAGTGACGTGTGCCAAATATTTTTTCATAAAAAATTGATAAGATTAAAATTATGTACAGTCGGTTTATATAAAATGTGACCTTCTATGAAGTTGAACTCAACAGAAGGTCTCCTTAAGGAGCAATAACGAGGAAGGACAAGGAAGGAGGTATTTTTGTAATTTTATAAGTCAGTTGTACAAATTGGTCCCTCCCATAACACTTGTGCTTTGTCACCAATAAATTGACCGATGAACCAATCAACATTGAAGAAGTTCCTCATGTTCATAAGTACATGTTAGTTACTTGTTATAATGTTGTTGCTGTTTTGTTGCAAACCTAACAACAAATAAACCAAACCTAAAAATGAATGAAAACTAAAGATTCTATTTTTGTTTGTTGATATGACGTATAATTCAGATTCAGATACAGTTTATTTGCCATTTGCAGTAAAAACACCACATTGGAATACATTAGCAAAAAGTCTCCAGTGTGCACAGACAAATACAGACATAAAACAACATTAAAAAACAGAAATAAAACAAATAAAACAGTAAACAAATGTCACTGTGAAATCGATCGACTAAAACAGTTTCAAAACAAGTGCAAATCCTATGCACCAAATCCTAATGCCTAATGTCTGCTGCTATTGTGGCTCTAAACATATTAACCACCAGGAGGTATTTCCAACATAATTTTTCTACTTCTTGATTTATCAATTAGAATGTTGGAGGAACATTTGGTGCACTAAGAATCTCGAACACGCACAGCACAAGCAGACCGTCTGAGGAAAAGCCAGACACCCCACAAATCTATCCACAACAAACTTCCAGACAAGTGTCAGTTTATCCGCAGCCAGTAAGAGCAGCCAGTCTGACAAATCGGCCAAACTGAGAACAAGAAGGCCAAAACCACCTGTCATTACAGTAAGACCATCCAAGAAAACAAGCCCAGCATTTAACATGGAGCATTCAGCACCAGAGGGAGAGAGCTGCTGACCAGTGGGAGAGAGCTGCTGACCAGTGGGAGAGAGCTGCTGACCAGTGGGAGAGAGAGGCTGACCAGAGGGAGAGAGCTGCTGACCAGAGGGAGAGAGCTGCTGACCAGAGGGAGAGGACTGCTGACCAGAGGGAGAGGGCTGCTGACCAGAGGGAGAGAGCTGCTGACCAGTGGGAGAGAGCTGCTGACCAGAGGGAGAGAGCTGCTGACCAGAGGGAGAGAGCTGCTGACCAGAGGGAGAGAGCTGCTGACCAGAGGGAGAGGGCTGCTGACCAGAGGGAGAGAGCTGCTGACCAGAGGGAGAGGGCTGCTGACCAGAGGGAGAGAGCTGCTGACCAGAGGGAGAGAGCTGCTGACCAGAGGGAGAGAGCTGCTGACCAGAGGGAGAGGGCTGCTGACCAGAGGGAGAGAGAGGCTGACCAGAGGGAGAGGGCTGCTGACCAGAGGGAGAGAGCTGCTGACCAGAGGGAGAGGGCTGCTGACCAGAGGGAGACAGCTGCTGACCAGAGGGAGAGGGCTGCTGACCAGAGGGAGAGAGCTGCTGACCAGAGGGAGAGAGAGGCTGACCAGAGGGAGAGAGAGGCTGACCAGAGGGAGAGGGCTGCTGACCAGAGGGAGAGGGCTGCTGACCAGAGGGAGAGAGCTGCTGACCAGAGGGAGAGAGAGGCTGACCAGAGGGAGAGGGCTGCTGACCAGAGGGAGAGGGCTGCTGACCAGAGGGAGAGAGAGGCTGACCAGAGGGAGCGAGAGGCTGACCAGAGGGAGAGAGCTGCTGACCAGAGGGAGAGAGAGGCTGACCAGAGGGAGAGAGCTGCTGACCAGAGGGAGAGAGCTGCTGACCAGAGGGAGAGGGCTGCTGACCAGAGGGAGAGAGAGGCTGACCAGAGGGAGAGGGCTGCTGACCAGAGGGAGAGGGCTGCTGACCAGAGGGAGAGAGCTGCTGACCAGAGGGAGAGAGAGGCTGACCAGAGGGAGAGAGCTGCTGACCAGAGGGAGAGGGCTGCTGACCAGAGGGAGAGAGCTGCTGACCAGAGGGAGAGAGAGGCTGACCAGAGGGAGAGAGAGGCTGACCAGAGGGAGAGGGCTGCTGACCAGAGGGAGAGGGCTGCTGACCAGAGGGAGAGAGAGGCTGACCAGAGGGAGAGAGAGGCTGACCAGAGGGAGAGAGCTGCTGACCAGAGGGAGAGAGAGGCTGACCAGAGGGAGAGGGCTGCTGACCAGAGGGAGAGAGCTGCTGACCAGAGGGAGAGAGAGGCTGACCAGAGGGAGAGGGCTGCTGACCAGAGGGAGAGGGCTGCTGACCAGAGGGAGAGAGCTGCTGACCAGAGGGAGAGGGCTGCTGACCAGAGGGAGAGGACTGCTGACCAGTGGGAGAGAGCTGCTGACCAGAGGGAGAGAGAGGCTGACCAGAGGGAGAGAGCTGCTGACCAGAGGGAGAGAGAGGCTGACCAGAGGGAGAGAGCTGCTGACCAGAGGGAGAAAGCTGCTGACCAGAGTGAGAGAGCTGCTGACCAGAGGGAGAGAGCTGCTGACCAGAGGGAGAGAGAGGCTGACCAGAGGGAGAGAGCTGCTGACCAGAGGGAGAGAGAGGCTGACCAGAGGGAGAGAGAGGCTGACCAGAGGGAGAGAGCTGCTGACCAGAGGGAGAGAGAGGCTGACCAGAGGGAGAGAGCTGCTGACCAGAGGGAGAGAGCTGCTGACCAGAGGGAGAGGGCTGCTGACCAGAGGGAGAGGGCTGCTGACCAGAGGGAGAGGACTGCTGACCAGAGGGAGAGAGAGGCTGACCAGAGGGAGAGGGCTGCTGACCAGAGGGAGAGGGCTGCTGACCAGAGGGAGAGAGAGGCTGACCAGAGGGAGAGGGCTGCTGACCAGAGGGAGAGAGCTGCTGACCAGAGGGAGAGGGCTGCTGACCAGAGGGAGACAGCTGCTGACCAGAGGGAGAGGGCTGCTGACCAGAGGGAGAGAGCTGCTGACCAGAGGGAGAGAGAGGCTGACCAGAGGGAGAGAGAGGCTGACCAGAGGGAGAGGGCTGCTGACCAGAGGGAGAGGGCTGCTGACCAGAGGGAGAGGGCTGCTGACCAGAGGGAGAGGACTGCTGACCAGAGGGAGAGAGCTGCTGACCAGAGGGAGAGGGCTGCTGACCAGAGGGAGAGAGAGGCTGACCAGAGGGAGAGAGCTGCTGACCAGAGGGAGAGAGCTGCTGACCAGAGGGAGAGAGCTGCTGACCAGAGGGAGAGAGCTGCTGACCAGAGGGAGAGAGCTGCTGACCAGAGGGAGAGGGCTGCTGACCAGAGGGAGAGGACTGCTGACCAGTGGGAGAGAGCTGCTGACCAGAGGGAGAGAGAGGCTGACCAGAGGGAGAGAGCTGCTGACCAGAGGGAGAGAGAGGCTGACCAGAGGGAGAGAGCTGCTGACCAGAGGGAGAAAGCTGCTGACCAGAGTGAGAGAGCTGCTGACCAGAGGGAGAGAGCTGCTGACCAGAGGGAGAGAGAGGCTGACCAGAGGGAGAGAGCTGCTGACCAGAGGGAGAGAGAGGCTGACCAGAGGGAGAGAGAGGCTGACCAGAGGGAGAGAGCTGCTGACCAGAGGGAGAGAGAGGCTGACCAGAGGGAGAGAGCTGCTGACCAGAGGGAGAGAGCTGCTGACCAGAGGGAGAGGGCTGCTGACCAGAGGGAGAGGGCTGCTGACCAGAGGGAGAGGACTGCTGACCAGAGGGAGAGAGAGGCTGACCAGAGGGAGAGGGCTGCTGACCAGAGGGAGAGGGCTGCTGACCAGAGGGAGAGAGAGGCTGACCAGAGGGAGAGGGCTGCTGACCAGAGGGAGAGAGCTGCTGACCAGAGGGAGGGGGCTGCTGACCAGAGGGAGACAGCTGCTGACCAGAGGGAGAGGGCTGCTGACCAGAGGGAGAGAGCTGCTGACCAGAGGGAGAGAGAGGCTGACCAGAGGGAGAGGGCTGCTGACCAGAGGGAGAGGGCTGCTGACCAGAGGGAGAGGGCTGCTGACCAGAGGGAGAGGACTGCTGACCAGAGGGAGAGAGCTGCTGACCAGAGGGAGAGGGCTGCTGACCAGAGGGAGAGAGAGGCTGACCAGAGGGAGAGAGCTGCTGACCAGAGGGAGAGAGCTGCTGACCAGAGGGAGAGAGCTGCTGACCAGAGGGAGAGGGCTGCTGACCAGAGGGAGAGAGAGGCTGACCAGAGGGAGAGAGCTGCTGACCAGAGGGAGAGAGAGGCTGACCAGGAGAGAGGCTGACCAGGGAGAGGCTGGACCAGAGGGAGAGAGGCTGACCAGAGGAGAGGCGAGAGAGCGCTGACCAGAGGGGAGGGCTGCTGACCAGAGGGAGAGAGAGGCTGACCAGAGGAGCGAGAGGCTGACAGGAGAGAGCCGGAGAGGCTGACCAGAGGGAGAGAGCTGCTGACCAGAGGGAGAGAGCTGCTGACCAGAGGGAGGGCTGCTGACCAGAGGGAGAGAGAGGCTGACCAGAGGGAGAGTGACGAGAGGCTGCTGACCAGAGGGAGAGAGCTGCTGACTGCTGACCAGAGTGGACCAGAGAGAGCTGCTGACCAGAGGGAGAGAGCTGCTGACCAGAGGGAGAGAGCTGCTGACCAGAGGGAGAGGGCTGCTGACCAGAGTGGAGAGAGAGGCTGACCAGACCAGAGGGAGAGAGGCTGCTGACCAGGGAGAGGGGCTGACCAGAGGGAGAGGGCTGCTGACCAGAGGGAGAGAGTGCTGACCGCTGACCAGAGGGAGAGGGCGCTGACCAGAGGGAGAGCTGCTGACCAGAGGGAGAGGCTGCTGACCAGAGGAGGGAGAGAGCTGCTGACCAGAGGAGAGAGAGAGGCTGCGACCAGAGGAGAGAGGCTGACCAGAGGGAGAGAGCTGCTGACCAGAGGGAGAGGCTGCTGACCAGAGGGAGAGAGCTGCTGACCGAGGGAGAGAGGCTGCGAGGAGAGAGCTGCTGACCAGAGGGAGAGAGCTGCTGACCAGAGGGAGAGGCGCTGCCAGAGGAGAGAGCTGCTGACCAGAGGGAGAGGAGCTGCTGACCAGAGGGAGAGAGCTGCTGACCAGAGGAGAGAGAGAGGCTGACCAGAGGGAGAGAGCTGCTGACCAGAGGGAGAGAGTGAGGCTGACCAGAGGAGAGGTGCTGACGAGGGAGAGAGCTGCTGACCAGAGGGAGAGAGAGGCTGACCAGAGGGAGAGAGCTGCTGACCAGAGGAGAGAGGTGAGAGGAGAGAGCTGCTGACCAGAGGGAGAGAGCTGCTGACCAGAGGGAGAGGGCTGCTGACCAGAGGGAGAGGGCTGCTGACCAGAGAGGGAGGGGACTGCTGACCAGAGGGAGAGGGCTGCTGACCAGAGGGAGAGAGGCTGCTGACCAGAGGGAGAGAGCTGCTGACCAGAGGGAGAGAGAGGTGACCAGAGGGAGAAAGCTGCTGACCAGAGGGAGAGAGCTGCTGACCAGAGGGAGAAAGCTGCTGACCAGAGGGAGAGGGCTGCTGACCAGAGGGAGAGAGCTGCTGACCAGAGGGAGAAAGCTGCTGACCAGAGGGAGAGGGCTGCTGACCAGTGGGAGAGAGCTGCTGACCAGAGGGAGAGAGAGGCTGACCAGAGGGAGAGAGCTGCTGACCAGAGGGAGAGGGCTGCTGACCAGAGGGAGAGAGCTGCTGACCAGAGGGAGAAAGCTGCTGACCAGAGGGAGAGAGAGGCTGACCAGAGGGAGAGAGCTGCTGACCAGAGGGAGAGAGAGGCTGACCAGAGGGAGAGAGCTGCTGACCAGAATGAGAGTGCTGCTGACCAGAATGAGACAGCCGACAAGGGGAGAGGCAATAGGCAGGTAGGGCTGGGGATCTTTGTGTTTATGTTAATACATACAGGCGAAATAAAAAAATAAAATAAAAATAAAAAATAAAAATAAAAATAAATACATAAATAAATAAATAAATAAATAAATAATAAACAAAAATAAATAAATAAAATAAAAATAAAAATAAAAAATAAAATAAATAAATAAAACATATTTTGATAATGGTTTGTAAAACATAATCATCCAAATCATAACCAACAAAGGCTTCAAATATGTCACTTTGCGTGTCTCTAGTCTATATCATAGACTCTGGGTCTATATCATATTTTGGTTTCACATTCAAGATGAATTGCAGAAATAGTTAAAGTTTTGAATATTCTAATTTTTGCAATACAATACCTAGGGTTGCAGGATTTCCAGTTGTGATATTGCTAACTAACTTTGTGACTGATATTGATATCCTGTATGTTTATGAAGTCTACTTAATTCTAAAGTGAAAACAACTTCAAGAAAGCTCCATTTAAAAAAGCAAACTTACAAAGTGATTACATTATAGACATTTCAAATGTTTAGAATCAACAGCATAAGTAGAAATGAAATATTCCCTTCAAAAGTGTTGAATATAAAGATTAAGTTGCCTCATAGTCAGACATGAGTTGTGAAACACATTTGGACAGTTTCAGATCATCTAAATTGTTCCATTGACAAATCTTTAATAAATACCAATCAAGAGACATTTTCACAATTATCGATCATCTTGAAAGATTTTTTTCTTTATAAAGGAACATAAATAGTTTCACTTATTACTGCATTAAGTGCATTCAGTGCAACTATCCTCTCCTCCTTCTAATCTATCTGTCTGCATTATTAGGATTTTGACTGTAGTTTGTTCATTGCTATTCATCCGTTGTCCCATTGTCTGTTTCATGGCACGACGACGGAACCTCTGAACCCGGCCCCCTCCATCTACATCTGCGGACTGCCCTGCCCGACCCGCCTGGGCCGCTGCGTGGCCTTGGTCCACGCTCTGTAGCTTAGGTCCTGGATCTACAGCCCGTCCGTCCATGTGGAGGGGATCCCTCTCTCAATGTGGAGTTCCCCGAGGTTTCTCTCCCACTGGGTTTTAGAGTTTTAGAGGGCGACAGTAGCTCAGTTGGTAGAGCATTGGCCTTTGGGCCTGAAGGTTGTGGGTTCAAGCCCACTGTAAGACCTACTTCATGACTCCCACTGATGACTGCTGCCGTTGTGTCCTTGGGCAAGACACTTAACCCCACTTTGCCTGAAGCCCCCACTCAAAGATCTCAGCTCCTGTGGACTCACCACCTGCAGGAGGATCAGTGAGGGGCTGGTGCTCTGAGTACTGACTCAGAAATGGATTAAGGGGAAGAAAATGGATGGGTTGTAGAGTTTCTCCTCTGATGCAGGAAACACTTTAACATTCTACAACATGTATGTGTCATGGTTTGCTCAAGTTCATGCTCCAGCTCTGAGGCTCCACGACCCGGTCCCGTCCCCGGCTCCACGTTCCAGCTCCAGCTCCGGCCCTTCTACTGGTCTCCCTCCTCCCTCCCGGTTTTTGGGACATTTGGGTTGGGTACTGTCATGGTTTAGGTTTATTTCGGGTTTTATTTTGAAATGTGTTCCTCTCAGTGTCTTGTACTTCCTGTTGTTTGATCACCTGCCCCGCCCTCCTGCCCCGCCCTCATGTGTCTCACCTGTGTCTCGTTATTCTTGTATTTAGCCCTGTGTGTTCCTTCACTCACTGTTCCGTCATTGTCATTCTTCGTTCGTTTTAGTTCTGTCCTTGTTCCTTGTGGTTTTTGCTGGTTTTGGATTTGTATTACTTTTATTAAATCCATTATTTTGCAGTTTTTGCATTTTGGGTCTCCTTGTTTTTTCACCCACGTGACAGTATGGACATTTATCAACATTCATGGACATTGGTCTTTCTCTATGGACCAATTCATATATTTGTTGTGTCTTAACTGTTGATTCTCTGATCTGTGTTGACGATTTCTACGGTTCTGTTAAGTCCTCTGAGATTATTGCGTTTGTGATTTAGAACTATACAAAAATAAAGTGACTTGAATTAAATGAGAAATCAACATTGTATCTCATATAAATATATTCATATTTATTGATTCTTTTTTTCAGCACACCATTAGATTTAATGCATTAGATCCAAATAAAAATCAACAAAAAGAGGATGACTGAAAACATCTTGAAGCAAATTTGCACAAAGCAGTGTTATACATATTAGGGAGAATAGCACTAAGGAAAGAGAACCTATATTTATCCCACAGCAGGGAACTTTCAGTGTTGAAGCACACATCATAGTGTAGTGGAAAAACACAAATATATCTTATTAATGAGTTTAAAATTACACTTTACACAGTTAAATTATATAAAAACACAGTAATTATTTGAAGGTTATTTATTTGTGAATCAAGTGCTAAAAAGAAGTTTTGAAGGCAGCTCATGTTCATTGATGAGTTATAAGGAAAATTAATTTCAGGTTGTGAATAACAAATCTTTGATGTTTAGAAGAAATAATGTCTTTGAAGTTGACCCAATTTGCTGGACGGATATATTTTGGGCATATTTATTCAGGAATCACTCATATCGGTAAAACCAATTATTCCCAAAGTGGGGTTCCATCTCCCTGAAAGGCTTCAGAGGAAAATCATTATTTTTAATGGGGTGTGCAATAATTATTAAAAGATTAAAACATTTCATTTTATTAATGCTAAGCAGACATAATAATGTAAGCGTGTGCTAGAGTGCGCATGCGCAAAGAGCTGGGGGAGATGTTTTTGAAACTGGCCGGGAGAGCAACGGTCGTGTTGGGCTGTTCATGAATAAACGGAGTCTGGTTATTTGATTCTCCAAAGATACTTCTGCCTCTGCTTCCTACCCAGCTTGCCCGTTACATTGGTGGCAGCGGTGTTGGCTGGACGTTCCTTCGGAATACTCGGGAATTGCAGTTGGCGTTATTTGGTGAACTATGTTTGGAAACTTTCATGGATCTGACGCCGGTATGGCTGAGGATGAATGCAAGTACGTACCTCCGTGGACCCAGGGGGTGTGCAATATCAGAGTGGACCTGCCTGCAGCGTTTTGTGGAGATGGACGTAAACTTTTCGCTACCTGGATAAAGCAGTTCGAAGCGGCGGTCCGCGCTCAGACCCGGGGTGATGGGAGAAGCTATGCCGCGTCCTTAACCGCTCTGCTGCCCACCCGGCTGGATGGTGCGGCGTTTCTGTTGTGGGACAGCCTGCCCTCGTCTGTGCAGTGTGATTTTGAACGGGTGAAGGAAAAACTCAATGAGGCTTTTGGACAGAAACAGTTTTTGCTGTATTTTCAGACGTGCGTCTCGGCTCGTCCCCGTGGGGCGAGCGAGAGCCTGGAGCTGTACGCTGCGGACCTTTCCCGGCTCGTTGCTGAAGCTTTCCCGGAGTATGACAAAATGGCACAGAATGGTGAGAAGTTCCGTCGCTTTCTGGCTGGACTTGACCCTGGGCTGCGGGCCAAATGCCACGAACAGGGCGCAACTGACTTGGAGGAAGCACTGATGATAGCGGGTCGATGCGAGCGCGCTAGAATGGCCCTGGGTGTGGGTCTACAGAGCGGACCCGGCTCCCATCCTGCACCAGCCACGGTGGCCTCTCTCTCCGCGGCTGAGGGGACAGCGCTGGGCACTTCCGGAGTGACGGGAAAGCTTCTCGGTGCTGTGGAGCGGCTTACAGACAGGATGGACAAACTACAGATGGAGGTGGTCAATTTGAGAGCACAACGGAGTGACCACACACCTCGCACTAGTCAAGGTTTTCCGTGTGCCTGCGAGTGTGGCGGATTTGGCTGCAGATCCTCTGCTCGTGAGCATCGCGTGGAGTGCAATGGTCGTGCACCGCGATACGGATCCAGGAATAACCGGGAGTGGTCCCCACAGGCGCAGGAGGATCGGGGCGCGGCGCCTGATTACCCTCACCGCCGTGAAGAGGACGAGACTCCCCGGAGAGGACGTTTCTCCGTGGAGCCAGAGTGGAGACGCGGTGTGAGATTTCTGTCACCCGCTCGGCGTTCACCTTCTCGGCGTTCCCCTTCTCCTTCTCCAATCAGACGGAACCAGGGAAACGACCAGTAACTGGAGGTGAGGCCCGACCGCCAGTTTCGCAATCTCAGGGTCGCGGTGGACCTTCCACGGCGGAGATTGAATCTTCCTCTATGGACTGCTGTGCTGTGGGTGAGTCCAAGTGTACATCATATATCAGGGGATCCATTGAGGGAGTGGATGTTCCTATACTCATTGACTCTGGTTCTAACGTGTCGTTAATCACAGAAGAATTTAAAATGTCGGTCCCTGCTTTGCGTAGACGTGTATTGAGTAAGGATTACATCTTTGCTCATGCTGTCAACGGACAATTATTGGACGCACTTGGCACGATGACTGTTCCCATGTATTTGGGGGGAATGTATGTGGAGCAGATGGTGCATGTTGTAAGAGGGGCGACACAACGAGTTTTGCTGGGTTTTGATTTTTTATCAGAGTTTCATGCTGTTCTTGACGTGGGACATAGTGTATTGCACCTGGGGGGAGTGGTTATACCATTGTTACATGCTAATGACCTTATTCCAAGATGCTGTAATATCACTATGTCCACAGATGTCATCATTCCTCCTTACTGTGAAATGGTTGTCCCTGTGCAGGTGGAGGCTCCGCGCTCCATGGAGCCGCACACTGATTTCTATATCGGGTATGTGGAACCTGAGACTCGGGATTCAATGGGGTTGGTGGTTGCACGTACAGTGGCTCCGGTTAAGGATGGACTCACTGTTGCGCGGTTACTTAACCCCACTGACCATGAGTTGAGGATGCATTCCGGTTCGCATTTGGGGGTCCTTCATCATGTCGATAACAGTGACGTTTTTGAGCCGACGGACGGTGTTGACCCTGACGCTAAGCCAGTGACTCTACCGGACTTAGGGGACTGTTACCTCACAGATGATCAAAGGCAGAAACTCAGTGAATTGTTAGAGAGACACTGTAATGTTTTCAGTACTGGGGGTGGATTCACTAAGGCTACGGGTGTGATAAAACACCACATTAACACAAACGGTAGCCTCCCCGTTCGTAAGAGGGCTTACAGGACGTCCCCTGACAAACGGAGGGAGATCGACAGGCAGGTGCAGCGACTCCTGGCAGATGGGGTCATTGAGGAAAGCTGTAGCCCGTGGTCCTCTCCTGTGGTGCTTGTGAGGAAGAAGGACAACACATGGAGGTTTTGTGTGGACTACAGGGGTCTGAATGCGGTCACGGTGAGAGATGCACACCCATTGCCTCGGGTAGATGACACATTAGATGCCTTGGCAGGGGCTACATGGTTCAGCACACTGGACTTCTCAGATGGATACTGGCAGGTGGAAGTAGCTGAGGAAGACCGTGAGAAAACAGCCTTTAACACCGGCCATGGTCTGTATCAGTTTCGGTCTATGCCCATGGGTCTCACTAATGCTCCGGCTACCTTCCAGAGATTCATGGAGCTGGTCTTGAAGGGGCTTCCCTGGCATATTTGTATGATTTATCTGGATGACATTCTGATTTTTAGCAGGTCGTTCAGTGAGCACGTGGCAGCCTTGGAGCAGATTCTTTCAAGGATTGGTGCGGCTGGCCTGCGGTTGAAGGCTAAGAAATGTCAAATGGCTCGTGACCATGTGGCGTTCCTGGGGCATGTTGTCTCGGCTGAGGGGCTGCGGCCCGACCCAAGGAACACATGTAAGGTGAGAGACTGGCCTATTCCTCGTTCTGCCACTGAAGTTCGTGCCTTCCTTGGTCTCTGCTCGTATTATAGGAGGTTTGTGAGAGGTTTTGCACAACATGCCTCCCCTCTCATCCATCTCACGGGAAAAAACGTACCATTTACCTGGTCAGAGGAATGCCAGGAGTCATTTGAGTTTCTGAGAGACGCTCTTTGTGCTGAGCCGGTAATGTGCCATCCTGACTTTACACAACCTTTTGTGTTGTATACTGATGCGTCCCAAGTTGCTGTCGGATCCGTGCTTACGCAATCTGTTGAAGGACTGGAACGGGTTGTCGCTTATGCCAGTCATGCCCTTACGGTGGCAGAGCGGAAGTGGTCGACATACGATAGAGAGCTTTGGGCCATTGTGTGGTCCATCCGGAACTTTAGGCACTATTTAGGTCTTCGACATTTTACCATTGTGACTGATCACAAGCCACTGCTTGGTCTTAGGCAGCTTCCCATTGACAATGATAGGACGGGTCGACGCTGTCGCTGGGGCCTGGAATTGGATCCGTATGACTGGATTATTGTCCATAAGAGTGGGGTCCAGCATACTAATGCCGACGCGTTGTCTCGCTGTCCTGTGTCCCAGATATTCATGGTGAGCTCTGAGACGCAGACTATGGATATGTCAACTTCGGTGGCTGTATGTGGGGTCGAAGCTTCTACGGAGGCTCCCCTAAGTGCTCAGGCATCGGATTCTTGTGAGCCCTCAGTACCCCCTGACGGGAGTGACCTACAAACCCTCTTTCAGGAAGGCTCCAACGTAAGGCGTCTGCAGCAAGAGGACCCAGATATTCGATCTCTGTTGGAGTGGCTTAGAGCGGGTGAGAGGCCGTCCTCAGTGAGGATTAAAGGGGCTGGTAAGGCTCTCCGTATTTTGTGGCACGAGTTCCCTCGCATGACCATGATTGACGGAATTGTGCACAGGGTTGTTGCCCTGTCTGATGTGGAACAGACATGGCAGGTTGTCGTACCATCGGTTCTGGTGCCGGAGGTCCTGCGTCTTCTTCATGGTGGGCCCTTGACTGGCCATTTGGCTGTGGAGCGGACCATGGCCCGTGCACGCGGGGTGTGCTTCTGGCCTTGTATGTATCGTGACATACGCACTTGGTGTGAGCAGTGTTATGCCTGTCAGAGGCGCAAGGCGCCTGTGCCTCACCATCGTGCTCCGATGCGGACGACGTTGGCACAGCGCCCGTTTCAGCGGGTTACGGCAGACATATTGGAGTTGCCGGTCACGTTGAGAGGAAACCGCTATGTTCTGGTGGTGGAAGACTATTTCACCAAGTTCGTTAACATGTATGCTATTGCGGACCAGAGGGCTACTACCGTGGCAGAGTGTCTCTTTAACAATTTCATCTTGGAGCATGGTGTTATGGAGACCCTTCATACTGACATGGGGCGACAGTTTGAGTCAGACGTGGTTAGGCAGTTGTGTACATTGTTGGGTGTTAAAAAGACACATACCACGCCTTATAATCCTAAATCTGATGGCATGGTAGAGAGACTAAACAGAACGCTCATTGATCAGCTGGCCAAAACGCTACTTGCTTGTGAGGGTGAATGGGACTCGTTCTTATCTCAGGTTGCGTTTGCATACAATACTAGCGTTCATTCCAGTACAGGATTTACGCCCTATTTTCTTAATCATGGTAGGGAGGCTCGTGTTCCTGTGGATGTGTTTTTGGTTCCTATTATGCAGACTGGTCAGAGATATGACTCTATTGATGATTTTGTTTTTTCCCTTCGTAGACGTTTGGATGCTGCTTTTCGCCAGAGTCGCGATAACAGTGTGA